TTTTTTTTTTTTTTTTTTTTCAGAGCATTATTGTGATTGTGGTTTTCCAGGCAGCAAATCTCATTTTGGTGATCTTTACAACAAGTAAGTTAAACTTCTTACTTAGGGAATTATTCTACAGTCCTCCAGGTATATCCATGAAACCCATGTTTTCTAAATGGGTTGCTTAATTTCTTGGAAACATGTGACAAAATAACTCAGCAGATATTACAACAAAGTTCTTATTGTATTTGTTTAGTTAACTGCATGTTGCTGTGACCTTTTGGACAAATGATCCTCAATCAAGTCAACTGAGGTAGCTGGTTTACACCAATACAAACTTTAAACATCCAGGCAGATTAGACTGTGCAGTCACAGGAAATTTCCATGACCACCTCAGAGAAATTTAAAGAGGAAGTTGGGTTTCTAAAGCAAAAGTGTTATACAAATTAAGCATGTCAGCAAACATGTCAGCAACTTGCAACTTGGCACTTATCTGTACTGGTTAATCTGGTTTTCTAAATTATACAATATTTATGCTTTCTTACAGTCAAACTGACCAAGCAAATAATGCATCAAACAGTGACAAAGTCTTTTCTTGCCCAGTCCTTTCTTTCAACAACACTTCTCTATGCAGGGCTCTACACACTGGTCTACAAATTTAAGGTAAGTGAATTGCACATTTGGCATTTCTCTTGCAGGAAGAACAAGTTCTGACCCGAAAATAGATGTAGCATTTGATTAAAAAGATAATTATTGTTCAGGACTTTTATAGCTGATTAAGCAAAGGATGTATGTACCTGTAATGCATTTCACCACCTTCACCTAACTACTTCAAGCCAAGTGGTGCATAAGGCCTCAACACTCTGTCGCCAACCAGCTCTGTCTGCCGCTGCAGTGGACACCTCACTCCAGCTCCTCCATCCAGCTCTTTCTCTCTTCTTCTCTGCTGTTCTCCTCCATGTTGTCCTATGTCTAACCCGCCTTCAGCACCCTTCTGTGTCCCACATTCCAGTTTCCCATTTTGAGTTGAGTTCTTGTGATCACTAAAGGTTTGGTCAGCCCCTGGCTTTTACCCAGGTGCATCATACTTTGCTCGCCTGAGCAAGGTCCCACAGCAGTCCCAAGAGATGACTGATTTAGTGTGCTTGAGGTTTCGGTAGTCTAATGCTGTTTTATGGGGATGGGTGATTGGCCCATCACTCAACTCCCAGCCTGGAGAACCAGGGGCTGTTCTTTGTTGGGTTTCTACCCTTAACCAATCTGGCAAGGTGGAACCTACCAGGGACAAAAAGTCCCAGCCAGCATAGGTCTTAGGGTCACTGAAACGCACAAGCCTTGCCACTGCGACAAGGTGACAACCCGAGGTGAGGGTAATGCATTTACTGGCAAACAAATAATATTAATATTATTATAAATAATTTAATAAGCTAGTTATTATTGTAAGCAAGTCAGCTGTCATCTGTTTTGAATTTTTGCCACGAGTTTCACCTTTTACTCAAAACCATCAATTGCTATTTTTTTTAAAAAAAACTTCTTGTTTTTATTTTGTCAGCCTACTGCATTTCAGCACATTTCAGGAGCCAAAAATCCATGGAGTACACCATTAACATTTTTCAAGATGACCGTTTTCTCCATTTCAACTGGAACTTTGTGTGGTGAGTGCATTCAAGGGATGTTGTGTTTATTTGGTACCATATAGTGAAGAATAGAAACGGGTCTGGTTATTGAAAGTTGAAGGAATGGGTAACATGCATTAATTTTTTTGCCCTGCAACTTTAAACAAAAATATTTGAGAGAGACAAAAAAAAAATCACTGCAATTGACAAATTCAAGCAGAGTGGATAAATTATACGGTTTGAAACTCATCTTTATCAGTTACATACATGGCATCTGTCAGTCTTAGAGACTATGGAGACTGGACAGTAGTTCTGGTGCAACGCCAGGTGTGGCTAGACAAACCAAAGCAGGAATGCCAGTCCTTCCCACAGCAACTGCAGATGAAGACTGATGCTGGTCTCCCTCCCTGGCTTTGATCTTTCCTTCTCTGCCTCTTATCTCCTTGGACTCCTTGGGCAAACATCAGTTATACTTGCTGCATATTATTTAGCATCATAAGAATTAAGAAAATGCTGTGCAAGATAACATGTGTTAAAAGCTGTACTGACACATGGCTTGTATAAATCTATAGACATAGCCCAAGCTAGTACAAGCAAACAGAATTTGAATTTTGATGATTGAAATAAACTAGTGATCACACATTTCCTTTCTTGTTCCTTTGTTATTTTCTGAATATTAGAAATAGAGAACATGATTTGAAATCATGGTTGAAGGTTAAGAATTGGAAGACCAGGCATTGACACAGGAAATGGAAGAGTTTAATGTTTGCACTTTATGTTAACAGAAGTCAAAAATTGTGGTCTGCTCTTCTCCTGTTTCGTGTTGGTTACACAATTATCTAATCTTACACACCAAAGGGCGTATTTAAATGTTTCTGAATCCTCTCGGGATTAGTTATTGAATGAATTATTAAATGGGCAAATCAGAACATTTTCTTTGTGTTTATTGCGCTTCAGAGAAACACTTGTGACACTTTGGGATAACTCAAGAAAACTGTAAGAGCAAGGGGAACCTTTTTAATTGTGCTCCACTCAACTTAAGTTGATTATAATTTTGTTTGAAATGTTTTTACAGGCAGTTCCTCCATTGTTCCAGATATGTGGGTAGCGCAGCTTATTGCTTCGACACAGGTGTTTAATAAATGAACTTTGTAACTGGTTTTCTTGAGTATGTAGTACCGTAACTGATTGATCAGATTGTTCTAATAAATCACAAGCTAATCTTGAGATCTGAGGGAAACTGCCAGTTGGTTATCTCTCAGTTAGCAGGGGCGGATCTAGGGGGAGGGTGCAGGGGGTGCACACCCCCCGCCCCCCCCGAGATGAAGCCTTCTTCTTCGTATTTGCTTTTAAAATTTGTTTACCTCACCAGTCAGTTACGTCATTCCTTAGTGGTACACCTCCTAACAAAAATCCTGGATCCGTACTTGGTTGGGATTAGCTGCAGTATTAATTTATGAAAGACGAATAAGATGTCCAAAGGGTATACATAGCAGGTCTTACTCTAAAATTACGTGGGTCAAGTTAAAATTAGGACGCCCAAATATTTTGTTAGACATTCAAAATCATCAAAAGAGTTTCTCGTCAGTTTTGCACCCACCTTCTCACTCTATCCAATCACAAAGGACACCAGACAATCCAGTGAACAATTACGTATCAGACGCGAATCGCGTGAAAACGAGTACAAGTGAGTCACGATTGGCTCTTGTTTTACTTCTGATTGGATTGCAAAGTGGCGCGAGTTTTTTAAGGCAATCGTTTAGCGTAATAATGTAAAACCAATTACATTTCAACACAGTGAAAAGCACTCTATCTTGACCTGTCTACAGCTGTGAGCGGTACTATTTCTTTCCAGATAGAGCAGAACCAATCAAAACTGGAAGTAAATGCATGTAGCGGATGCGGAGCGCGGGAAAACTTTTGCGAGCGAGTCAAGATTGGTTTTGGGTGTACTTCTGATTGGATGAAAAAGTGACGTGAGCTTGCTTTGTTTTGCAATCGTTTATTAGCGCGGTTTTCATTAGAGTGTCGAAAAGTAATTGGTTTTGCATCAACTACGCTACACGAGTGGCTTAAAAAACTCACGTCACTTTTTCGTCCAATCAAGAGCAAAACCAAACCCAATCGTGACTATTTTGCACGCGTTTTACCGCGCTTTGCGTCAGCTGCATGTAATTTCTTCGAGTTTTTGATTGGTTCACTGTATTGTCAGTGTCCTTTGTGATTGGCTAGAGTGATAACCAATACTTTGGTTTTGCTGATTGGAAATCGCTTTAACAGAGTGATGCAAAACCACGCGGAATTATTTTCGATACTGGCGCGAAAACCACTGCAAATGCGGCGGCTATGCATGATTCATTTGACGTGACAGTGATTTTTCTGTGATTTTATTTTCTGTTCCAGATGTTGATGAGTTACGTTTATTTTGCGTCTGTCTTGTACATGGCCGTTCACCCACCCAAGAATGATTTAAAATGGAAAGTCATCAGCCGAAGTAACCAATACAGAAATCTTAACCAAAGATGAAGTCGCGATTAATTTTGGAGGACAAAGAGGCAAACTTAAGACGGACTAAGAGATTCCCTTTTATTTTTCAAACCCAGGGAAAAGGGAACGACACTGAGCCACTAGGTATTTTTGTTTACTTTATTCGCTCTATTTTCTTTGGCATTTTTAGCGCCAAAAACTAGAAAAAAGTTAAACAGTAACGCTGAAAGGCATGGTCCTTACTATTTAACAAAATCCAACGCAAAGGGGACTTAAATTAATCCACTCCTCCTGGGTGTGGTGCACTTCACAAGTAGCTTACGTACATGTATTAAGGGTTGTATCCCGTCCGTGTTTGTGCCTCTGAAGTCTTTAGTAGATCATCACTTTTGTTTTCTTTATCAAAATCAGACATTCTCATTGAGGATCGTTTATAAAATTAGTTTATAGGGAAATGTTTTTTAAATTCATTGGGTTAGCAGCCCCTCCCNAGTTTATTGGACATCGCGTTTTTAAAAGAAAAATAATATATTTTTATTGCAATGAATACGTTACTATGGTAACGAAGAATAGATAAATTTATAAAATGATGTAAGAGAATTGTCTCTCTCTGATTGGTCAGAGAATGGTGCAAGTGTTTCATACCCAGTACTTAGCGGAGCATTTTTCAAAGATTACAATTTCAGCACAGCGACGGAACGTCCTCAGATATGTTAGTTTAAACATCAAATAATGATGGAATTCCTTTCAAAAATCGAAGAAATGAAAAAATATAATAAAGTGATTATAAAAGACCAAAATTGTCTTTGTTATATATCTTGCTTGAAAAGCTAGGAGAACGGTTGTAGGAGCACGCGAGGCGAGGGTCGCGCGCGAGTTCTCGCTGCCTCGTGAGTACTGTAGTCAAGCCACAGGGAGCCCTCACATCCGTTTAGAATATGAATAAAAGATTAACCTACCTTTATCTTGCGTGTTTTGTGTTTTGTAGCGGCCATTTTGAATTTTTACTACGTGCGCGGTCTGCTAGTGCGAGGTCTGGAACCGAAAATACGGAAATCTTGGAGCTCTAAGAAAATGACAAGGGCACTTTATTATCCGCGGTAAGCGATCGGATCCTCCGAGAATTTGCGAATTGTCCCGCGCGTCCCAGACTTCGCGCCCCATCCCAGACTTTCGGTTCCAGACTTTGCACTAGCAGACCGCGTATTAAAAATTCAAAATGGCCGCCACAAAACAAAAAACACGCGCCAAACACGCGCGATAAAGGTAGGTTAATCTTTTGTCCATAATCTAAACGGATGTGAGGGCCCCCTGTGGTCAAGCACAGTGTATTCCCATCTTGATTTTTCTTAGTTCTTTCAAAAATGAACGGACGCCATTAGTTTTTCCCAAGCTTGCAGATTGTTGAGAATGTCTCCGTCACAAGGACGTGGTTAAATCCTTTACGTTTAACATTCATGCAGGTATTCTGCCCAACCATCCGCCATCTGAGAGCCTGAGAACCCTGCTTGCTTTTCTGTCTGTTTTCAAAGTCCGCCGATTTTTCGAAGCTACGCTATCGCGCATCCCTCTAACACTTCCATCAATGTAGAATAGTGGGAAAAAAGACCGCGTTTAGGGATTCATTGGAAAAGTAAACAATAAGGTCTTCATAACGTGGTGGGCTACTTCTCGCTTTCATTTCATCGCAAAAGTTCTGTATTTGCTGTAACGGTAAGGCGCATGCGCGGAGCTGCTTATGGAGAGATGGCACTTGACTTCGAAGGCACGAACCGAAACCACGGTTTGTCAGGAGCGACACGTAGTTGTACGAAGTTCAAAAATAAAGGGCACTTGGGTCAAAAGTATGCTTGGATCCTTGAAATTTTTCCACGCAGCCTTCAGTGTCAACGTATCTTGAATGTTATTGAGAGTTTCCTTTACACAATTTTGCTAGAGGGTTTGCTAATCATCTGCTGTATTATGTTTGGTTTGACAAGCCGCTTGACATGATTTGTTGTTATGATATTTGCATGAGTGTTCTTTGACGTGAAATCGTGTTTGGCTAGCAAGCCCTAGCAGGGCAGTTTGCGTGGCTCGGTGCAGTGCCAACTGAAAAAAAATTACCTGAAAAGAGATGGAATTAATTAACACGCTCAGGGGTCGATTTTGAATTAACTAATTCGAAATAGAATGTATTTTTGCAACATTAATGTTGTTTATTGGCCTTGAGCCTATAAAGGAAGTTTAACTTTATCGTTTCCCACGGCAAACAAGCTGACATCATGCTGTGCCTAGCGCTGAGACAAGGGCACGCGATGGTCATTGACGTCGCTATCGGTTTTGAAGCGGGGAGGAGAGCAGAGAGAATGGAATAGATCTTCTCGTGCAGGGCGGAAATTTCGAAGAAGAGCTCTAAATGGTACATTTTCTTTAAAAGTAAAGCGACGTTATAGGCATTCGATGTATTTACACAGCAGTATTTTTGCAAGTTAGAATGTGAGTAAGTTTCATTATGGGGAAAGTTGACCTCACTAACCCCTCCCCCTCACTGAGCTATTCGGTAAATTGGTGCGCGGCAACAAAATTGCGTGAAGCTGCCTTTGAAATGATTCCAACATACTAACACTAAACTTAATTCTTTAACGACCAAGAATTTCTTTCAGATGGTCTTCTCGGAAGTTTATCTTTTATCAGTTAATCAGGTATTTTGACGGGGCAGTAATTCATTTTTTCAAGTTTAATCATTGCCACCTACTGTGTTGGTATTTTTGTCGTCAAGGAATAAAAGGAGGGCGAAAAAATGTCAAAAAATATGGCGGACTTGTTTACGAGAAAGCAAAGCTTGTCGTCCGAGTAATTTTACGCAAGTTTGCCCTCTCAACGGATAAAGCCGTGTCAGCAATTAACTTGGTGATCTAGACAAGCACAAAGAACTATCTTTTTTTAACACCAGATGTCATTAAAACACAATAAGATGTTGCACCTTCAGTCTTTCATTGTATTGTTAATTTTTCTTCGGTCTTAATGAGTTTTCAAACAATCGGCAAAACTCCCAAGCGCTCTGAGAAATAACCCACCCTTTATTTATCAGTGTATGATTACTAAAATGTAATTAACTTTTCGCTCTTAGTCTGCAAAAAGTTAAGGTTTTCTCGTATTGCCCTGGCGCTGATCAGTGAAATACGTATTGGACGCCTGTCTGCATATTCAAACCTGGGTTATGGGAAGTGAGCGTGTCTGCGTCGAGGAAGGAGGTCATACGATCGGTTTTGGTGTTAAGTTTTCTTGGTACGGAATAAATATCTTAACCGAACCACTAAGGGAGTGGCTAATGAAACCTATTGGATATAGGTAGAAATTTTCTGCATGGTACATCAGTAGAGGAAAAAAAATCTCAGTGACATGGCAGCGCAATTTTCAGACGGTTAGACAAGCTCTCTGATAAAACAAGCATTGTATTGTGGCCGCGACGATCGACGCCAGCCTGAAAAGGGCAAATTATAGCCTTGTATGCTCAGACGGGAGTAATATTTCGTTGTTGCTTATTGTGCTACAGCAAAGAACATGCGACTTAAGTAAACCGATATTTTTTGTCATCTTAGGACAATAATTTGCACACTTTTTTCCAACTTTGATTGATAGAAGGGATTGTTAAAGATACTCAAATGGCCCTAGCACAACATCCTTTTGTCTACCTTGTTTTTTTTTTTTTTCGCAAGCCTTCAATGTCTGTGCATAGTTATTAGTTTGTGAAGGTTGTAATTTTAATTTAAACAACGCTATGAATTGAATTCCTTTGGAGATAAGAATAATGTATAAGAAAAACATATTAATTGGAATCTAATTTTGCGATGACTAGTTGTAACGCTTTACAGAATGAGAATTGTGAAGAGTCCGTAATTGCGGCAAGCGATTAGAAAGGATTCAATTGTACAGTGCTCAATTAGATCCCCTTTGAAAGATAAACAAAAAAGCATGTTAACTACGGTTAAAGACAGTGGCGACTAATTCTCTGTTTGTCTTAACCTATTATCATGGCTTCCCTTCGGATTCGGAGTGAATTGAAGTAAAAATCGATAAGGTATGTGACTGTGAAGTTCAACGGCAGACCTTGACAATCTTGCTGAATTAAAACCTGACTCTCATTTGCATAGATAAAACCTTTGTAGTCCGCCGCATAACCCAAATAAAGCTTTTGGCTGCTATTTAACAGTTGTCATTTTTGTTCGCCATTTTAGGTCAGCTATTCACACTTTTTTCAATGAAAACTTTATAGGTTTGCTGTAAGTGTCGTTTTTTCCTTGATGAATCTATAGAAGTGTCACTTCCTTTTTGTCTCAGCTAAATCAAACATGTCTTGCTCTTCTGAAAACGGCATTGTAACAATTCTATTGTTCACCAAAACAAGCTCGAAAATGCATTTTACTCGCGAAGTGGAACATTTTCGAAGAACAAAATGGCTGAGGGGTTCCTCCTGTACGCTATTGATCTTACTCAATTAAAAGCCTATTAAAATGTCGGTTTTAGAAGAGAAGACACCTGCATGTGATAAACTTTATTGATCTGAGTAGTATCATCCGCGGAACGACAAAAGAAATAAACACAGACAAAGTTCAAAAAACCTTTTTTGCCGCCAGCGATATTTTGTGATTTTCGTGTTCGTAGTTTGAATGGCACATGTCAGAAGATAATTACAATGCAACACAAAAAGGGTTTCAATGAAACCTCTTTTCCATGGACATTTCGGCGACCGGAAATGATAACAGAACAATTGTATCATTGGCTCCAGCGACCCGGAAGTTCTCGGTGCTTGAATGAAAACTGGGACCACTGCAAAATCCCAAAGAATGCACAGATGAGCTCGTCAAGTACAAACATGGGCGAAGCGTATTTTGCTGAGAAAATCGACGCCGAAATGAAGACATTTCCTTGGCACTATCCCGAACAATACATCTTGTCTGACTTTATTCCAAGTCCTTGCAATTTTCCTGTGTAAGTGTTTGGCAAGTTCTATTAATTAAAGCTTGCTCACTTTTTGCTCCTAGACACTTGTTATGGCACTCCTAATGTTAATGTTCGTCTTTTTTTTCACTCAGGGAGTTCGATGGTCCTAGCTTGAAAATCGAGGGTACAGGTAAGAAATTTTCTCAGTGTTAAAAGTATCGTAACTCACTTAATTCGTCGGTCAATTCCTTTTGTTTGGTTTTCAGGGTAATGTCAGCACAAAGTGTTTATAGAATCCCAAAGCTACCCTTCACAATAAATCAAAAATCGTGCAAATTAAGTGATCAAGATTTGACTTCATACACTGCGCTTAGGTTTCTACTGAAGCGGAAAAATCCACGAGCAAAGGTAGCTTCAAAACACTTGTTTTAAACGCAGTTTGCGCAGTTTGGAAGTTTTTAATAGGACACGTTCTTGAATCTTTAATTGTTTGCATAAATTTTCATTCAAATTAAACGCAAGCTTTCAGGGATTTTGTTAATGTAAGTTCTTTGTTTTTTGTTCCTCGAGCTATATGACATTCTATTTCGGTACACTTGATAAAACTCAAGTGAAGAGGTATTTACGTAAACAGGGAAGTAAGTTTTAAAAGGAAGCCGTAACTGGTGATATTTATTCATATTTGACGACGAATGAATCAGTCCATTCGAATGTATTAGAGCGTAGGCATTTCTTGAAACAATAATACAATAGCAGACTGACGCTTTCAAGGTCATCGAGACAGAACGAATCAGTATAATTTCGATCCTTCGCAATCGTTCTTTGTCCGATCATAAAGGATTGATTTTGACAGGTGGTTGGTAGACATAATATAGGCGGGGATGAAAAAAGCGCATGCTTGAAATGTAAATTCTCTCTACCGAATGACCCATTTCAAACGGCGTTGGTAATGAGAAACTGATAATTCATCAACTTAATACTTTCCCGCAGTTGATTAATTTAGGCATTCTCTTCACCTGTCTTCTTGACCTTACATTGATACAAGAGACCGTGATCTGATCTCATGATCTCATTTTCTCTTGATTGATATCGTTGGGAGAAATATCATATTGGTCAATACTAAATATCAAAAAGTTTAACTCGAGCTGGGCGCTATAAGAGTGATATTCCATTTAGAAAGGAGAGTCGTGAAAGGTGCATTTTGCGATTTTGTAAATGGTGTATTTTTTGATTTTACACAGAGTTCGTTTCAACAAAAACAACTCGACTGTTTACAGCCCTCTACTTTCTCGTATTTTCATTCGATCGTTGATCACGTGGATAGAATCGCGAGAAAACTTCGCGCTCGCCTCGCTCGCTTACTCTTTCACGTGCGCTGAAAAACAGAGAGGCAGTGAACATTCTAAAAAGAAAGGATTTCAGCGCGTTCATGCTACTGATAAAATTTTTACAGCCATAGAAAGGGGAGAAAATTGATGGAAATGAAGACTGAAGACGAGTACATAATCACAGTGCTAAGACCGTTTCTTCTTCAGTTTTTGCTTTTCTATTTTTATTTTATTTAATGTAGCACAAAAATGGAAATTACATCCGTTTCATGCCGTAAGATATGGCATTCTTTTCTTTTCAGCAAAGCGGGAAATTCTCGAGTAGAAATTTTTGTGGCAATCGATTTTCGCGTTTTGCCAAACAAACGCAAAATTCGCAAAACTTAACTGCTGCAATTAATATATAGTATCTATGAATTTAAAGAGTGAGTGCGGACCATGTAGAGGCATCCACTTTGACGTCAAATCTCTTCCTTCTTCTGCTTGCGGCAGTATCTACGAGAAATTCAGCTACAATGTGCGTCTGCTTGCCCTCGCGCCACGTAAACCATTTCTATGCTTTCAGATAAAGTGCTGTAAATATAATTGCAAGCCGTCCTTTTTTCTGTTGCGAATTTCTTTGAAAACGACCGCATAAAATAAGTAAATTCTCTAGCTTAAAAAGATTATATCGAGTTACTTTTGCTGTGGATATTTAATATACAATTATACTTACATGTTTACATAGAAACATTGGATCCAGACTCGCGGCCACAACAGCAACAGGAAGAGCTCGCACAGTACTCTCCAGATCCGGTAACTGAATTTTTTTTCGTTATGATTTCTAGAAATCTCAGTTTGATTAAGAACAAAGTTTGGAGCATGTCTAGGCCTCTGTTAGTGAGATAAACCTTATAATTTGGCCAATAAGTTCCCGAAAATAAACCCAGCGGCAAATAAAAAATAATTTAAGGTTTAAAGCTTGAAGGCATTTTCTGAATTTTCTTTCACCGGTTTCAAATTAGACTGTGCGGTTTACTATTCCCTGTAATACAAACAAAACACAATTAACTTGATTTCAAATCACCTCGAAATTCGTCAATATTGAACCACAGCAGAGCGATTCTAATAATTAACATATCGCAGTCTTTAAAAACAACAAAAACGAAAAAAAAAAAAAAAAACTATCAGTGAATCAAGATATCTTAAAAAGTTTTAATTCTGCAGTTCATTTGATCAAAACAGAACAGCAAAGAGCAAAAACGAATGTTTATGGATCTACTATAAAAGGATGGATAAGACTCGAACCATAAATGGCATAATAAACTCAATTGTTCTCTTTTCAGCCCGAAAATTTGATGGTCAATGTTCCCACGGACGAGGCAGGCGAAGACTTCCCAGAATTCGTTGATCCTCTTACACCAGTCAGCCCCAGGTTTCCTCCTCACGCGCTTATGAATTTATCGCCTCCGCATGTGACGTCACCAAGCACGTGAGCAATGTCAATGTTTCACTCTGATCCAATCTCGACCCCAGAGTCTCTCCGGACAAAATCGTTAAGATTTTCGAAAATAAGTGATTATTTTCGAGTTGCCTCTTTCTTTTATGCCCCATTGTGTCTTTCCTCTATGCAATGTTACCTTGCTTCTTTTTTTGTGTGTTTGTTTTTTTTTCCTTTGGTACGTTTCTCTGTTAAAAAGCAAAGGTGGCTGCTTCCATCGCTCCCGTAATATTATCTGCTGAGAAAATTTAGATAATGTGTTTTGCTGTACTGGTCTATTTATTTAGGAACGAGTTTCGCGGAGATTACAATTTCAGGATGGTTCTGGAAACACAGGTAATTTCGTTGTATCAGAAATACATTTTAGACCTGCTATCGTGTGCATTTTAATTAATGTATTTTCTCGTCTGCAATCGTCAATAATAACATACTAATGGCGTCGTACTTTGTTTGCAGCCCAAGAAAGTTGCCAATCCAGACTGGATTGTAAGTACTATTAACCTCTTAGCTCCTAACTCATGTCTCATAGCTTCACCATTGTGGTTTGTCAGTTGAGCCTGAATAAAAATCAATACGATAGACTGTTACAGATGGTTCATACTTACACGAAGTCTTTTTTCATAGTACTCAGTACACCAGAAGAAACTGTACATCAAATCAAAGACGCCATGTCCTGTCAGATTTTTGACTACAGGTGAGGCCATTTCCATAAAAGCCTCATAAATGTACTTTCATTGATTAAAATTCCTAATCTGTTAATTATGTTGATTGGTGTTATTTGGTACCCAGGTCCCCCTCCTTCTGGAGCGTTCATACGCGCCATGCCGGTATTCAGACAACCTGAGCATGCTAAAGATGTGGTTCGCTGCTGTCGAAATCACACCGCTGAACATACTGGTGAGGACAAACGAAACCTGGCCTGTGGAGGGAGGGGTAGATCTTGTTAACCTTCTAGCAGAGTGGGGAAGGGACTGGAGAATGTGCCCGTGCAAATGAAAAACAGCTGCCGAAAAATCGATTCGGCGAAATAGATATAAAGAACCAAATTGGCGTCTTAGATCAAAAAAGAAATTTTATTATAAGAGTGTAAACGTGGTTAATATGGGAGAAAAACGAGATGAATGTCATACAAACTGAACTGGGAAAATAATTTTGAGAATGAGTTGTAATTTTTCGCTCGCCGGTATTCGTTTCCAGGCTCTCCTGCTACAGGTCACTTCCTCCGTTGTGACAACCAAGAGGCTGAGTATGAGGAATGTCCTCAAACCACAAGGCACTCTGTAAGGATACCACTCCGCGGACCAGCTTCAGGTGAGCCTCGTAACATAATTTGCTCATACAGTCGTGAAGTCTTCATTTTCATGGAATTTTAATTACCATCTTCAAATGACTGTTGTCAAACCAAAATGACATTTACCAATAATAGCTGATCAAAACAAAAGCAAATGTTAAAAGGAAAGTCAGTCACAACTAGAAGCAAAATTGTAGTAGGTATTAGACAAGTTCATCAAGCGCGGGAAAACGTATGCCTGTCGCTTAGCGCGGGAACTGACGTGCAGCTGGTGCTATGCGCGGGAAAACGTGAATCTGTTGCCAAGCGCGGGAAACACTTCCCACCATTTCCATTCTCATTGTTCAGAGTTGAAAGCAAGGCTTTTAGGAGTTACCACCGCGCTTCCCTTTCATTTCGTAGACTGAAACAAACAAAAAAACAGACATATTGGTAGGAATTAGACTGGCATCGTTAGCTTTTCTTTCTTATTGCAAGGAGTGTTTTCCTAATGAGATGTAAATCTCAATTTGTCTTGAAATTGGTGTATATAAAAGAGGAAGTATTTGCCATTTCTAACTGATTACTATTTCTAATTACCTTTTATTGTGTTCAGCTGAAGACGCTGACGAGCTTGGAGTCCATGAACTGTTCTACTTTATCTGTAATAACTCCTGTGGCGGCTTGAACAGGAGACCAATTCAGATCATTTTTACCCTGGAAGATTTGTAAGTTTCTAATATAATATTATTTATAGCAAATTTTCCTTTTTTCCGAAATGCCATCCATTGTAACAAATATCACTGCATTGCAATATCTGTCATATTGTCATTGGCGTTCTAAACTTCTCGACCAACCAAAAAGCCAGCAATCGCACGCGTGAGTTAAACGACACGTGACTACTTTGACGTTACTCCCCCTCCAAGAATAACTTGGTTAATGATTGGCAAGGGAACTGGGAAACTTCATTAAAATCGGTCGGGAATCAGCCTTCAGATAAAAGCTCAACGCAGCATATCGCAACATTGTTGGGCGAAACATGTCGCGCGCGTTTGGCACCCTGTAATGACGTATTGCGACACGTTGAGTGTTGTTGGTTCAAATTTGACCATTTTCAAACTTGAGGCAACAACACCCAACATGTCGCAACAGGGCGTCCAAACGCGCCTAACAATGTTGCAATATGTTGTGTTCAAATGTTGCGATCGTTTGGCCGGGGCTTAAAAGATGTAAATATGAGATGCGTCTGAACAACTTTCACAGAAGTAACAGTATTATTTTTGTGAAACAGTTTATTTCAAAATAAATTGCAGTATGTAACATGAATCATTCTGTTCTCATTTGAAGGTCAGGTAATGTGGTCCTGGGGAGATGTTACGTCAATGTCAGAGTCTGCGCATGTCCAGGACGAGACTCTAAACAGGAAATCGAGGCGATTAACCGCGGGCCAGGCAAAAAACCGCGCGGTAAATCCAAAGCAAGTAAGTTGGTAGATCGTCGCTAGATGAATGCTCACAATTTTAAAACATTTAACTAAGACATCGAACAATATTTCTAGTATCATTTCAAGAAGCTCGAAAGCATTCTTTGATCAATGGAAACTATCATTTAAAATTAGTAAATTTGACAACTTTTAAAACTCAGTCGTCAGTTAAAAACCCGCCATTTCCCAACTGGCAGTAGCAACTTTGGCAAAACAACGCAACAATCAGTTTCAACCCATCCATGCCCTCTGACAATGCTAATTGTGATTACTCATTAAAGAACAGTTAAAACTGCAAGGTTATTTAAGTCTTGCAGGGATTTACCCTGGCTTTGTCAGCGCAATTAACTGCAACTGAACAACACGGACTGTTGTATATTTTAAGAAACAATTTTGTACATCAATTTTCAAGCTACCTTAATAGTTTAACAATAAATTTAAAGGAATTACATGTAACGCCAGGCTTGAAAAAGTAAGCTCTAAATTTCCAATTTGATCATTTTTGCAGCGCGTTTCTAACTTCTGAGATTACAGCGCGCCATTCAGACACTCACATTTCGAAGTTAGTGGGTTTTATTCATGAACAAAGTCTCTTTTGTTGTTTCGTGCCAGGTGTAAATGATCTACAGTGTCTTGGTCCAAAGATGTCTAAAGAAGACAGTACCGTGTACAACCTCAAGGTAGAAGGCCTTGCTAAATTTGAAAATTTTATACTCATTCACCATAATGGCCTCTTTTCATGGAAACTAAGAATTAATTTTCCCTGAAAGACGTTTTGCCCAGATATAATTCTTAGGAGAACTGGAAAAAGGGTGACTCAACTTTCATTATTTTCAGTTGCTTCAGTTATACTTTTGTCAGTCCGATGGAAACATAAAAAGCCTTACAGAAAGACAGAAAACATTTAGCATTCCCAACTTACTGCCACTTGACAAAATTGCACTTCAAATAAGAACCCCAATTATTCTCTAATTGCCTACTTCGTAAGAGGATATGCAATTTAGTCATCGCTTACAAAGTGACTGTTTTTAATAATCATTATTTTCGCTCACAGATCTGTGGATTCAATAATTACCTTATGATGAAAAGGATTGCCATCGCACTGGAATTGTTCGCAAACATGGAGAATAAGTTGTAAGGCTTACACTTTATTCGTTTTCTTCTATTTCGCTTTCTTCTGTAATTTTTTAGATCTTAGAAACTGGCCATTGATAATTCAGCCTTCGTTACTCTTGCTCTGATCAGTGTAGAGGGCGGAAAACAAGTAAAACTAATGCTTTTTTGTAAATTGTTTCCCCACAGTACTACGATGGAGCCCCAGGACCTGGAGATGCCAGACTTTACAGAATACACTCCAGAGGTGCGTGCATTACCAATTTGAAGAAGAAATCAAATTCTTGAGCAGCTAAAATTTGTTTGGTTTAGTGGCAGTTAATTGCTTGCTAGGAAATAAAAAGCCCTGAACGCCACAGTGTTAGAAAAAAAAAATCAAAATTTTCGTTTCATTTTTTTACAAAGGACAATGTCTAATTCTGTCCAGGGTCTGGATCTAGGCCGAACTTCATAACTCCAATTCCTAATTCTCAGCGTTTAGTTTCTCTTTAATTTCGATCGTCCCAGAGGTTTTTCGACCGAAAAAGGAGAATTCGCGCGAATTGCTTCTTTAGTAACACTGAGTGAATTATTGACGGTTTTTCTTTTATCAGGATCAAGACAACTCCGAACCTGATTCGACTTTAGTCAAGTAAGTTTAAACCGAGTAATTAAATACATTTTATTTAAGCAAAGTATTAGAATAAAAATAGTTTGGACGATTGAAGCTGAAACGGTAAACAGCATGAAAAAAAGAAACAACAACAAGACTGTTTTCTTCTGTTTATCCGCTCGTCTGGCTACTTACTGAGCAAGCGACCACTTGGGAGTGTCTTAAGATGAGGTTATCGTCTATTATAAGGTCTAGTTAATTTAAAGATCGGTTAGAAACATTACACTGACAAATTATTGAACAGGTCTCATAAAGTACCATCACTGGATTTGCCCTTTCGCTCCTTTTGGAAGGAATAACCACCACAAATATGGCGAGTTCTTTACCTTCAAAGCAATGCCAGCTTCCACTCTTGGAACTATAACTGTTTCATGTTTCACAGAACTGGGAATCTATTGTCATGGCCAAGACCCTCACACTAGAAATTCATTAAACTCAGTGGTGAAAGGCTGGTTAGGAAATGTTCAGAACTTAATCAGTGGCTTCATATTACTTCTTGCAGGCCTTCAGTGTCCGAGTCACCTCCGCCACCGATCATCGTCAACCAGGAGTCTTTCTTAGTTCCATCTCACACGGAAAACTGGTACCCAGCTGTCCCACAAGACCAAGCGAGCCAACCACATCAGCCCCCACAGTACCCCCAACAGTGCTTTACATACAGGCGTAAAACGTCTTTTGTTATATTTAAGAAAGACTGACAAATCTATAATTCGATGCGAGATAGAGATTTTTAACTGTAGACTGAAATCTTTGGAAACAATCCAAAGCAAAGAGTGTAACCTACTCGCTGTTCTTTCATGCGTAAAACATTAACAAACGTAAGATTTTTACGAATTATTTTTGTATCTGTCATGGATCGATAAAATAGATGACCTTATCTTAGCCAAACAGAATACGACTTTTCTAACAGCAGCTGAAAGGAGGCAGGTTCCCAAGAGATTAACGAGCTTTTACAATCCAGCCTTTCAAGGACCCTAGTTCAGTTCGCCTCCGCCATTTTCGATGACATCGAAATTAGTGAAGCGAAATCTTATTGCTTTACTGTAAGCTGTGTTCCTGAAAGTATGTTTAATTATCTTAAGTAGTTTCACCGTGATTTCCTTCGTTTCGACATGCCCCGAATAAAATATAATAGCAAAACTCTCGCATGAAAACAAAAACAAAGGTGTGGCTGACTGGGGCCCTTTGAAGGAGCTCCGTGAATTATTTTGGCCTCGTACAAAATTGCCTTTAATTTGTTACCTTTAAATTGAAGGAAACCTGAAAACAGTTGTTTAATAAGATAGAAGAACACCTAAGAGATAATAATAAACCATAATGGAACAAGGATGGTCAAGGACGGAGAAGATTAATATGGATTACAAACGGCGAACTTTAAAAATTTAGGCTAAATTTTTGAAGATGCACAAACTGTGACATTCATTTAGCCAGTCACGATATCTAGCCTCGTAAAAACGAAGTCTGAAGAAAACCAAAACGTCCTGCAATCGGCGGTGATAATACCTTTGATGTAGCAAGATATTCTCAGAGTTAATGTTAAAATAATCAGTGAATAGCCATTAGTAATTATAAATGGGAATTTTAAAGATCTCAAGTTGGGGACTAAAAGATTTAGTTATGCCTCGACTCCTACCATGAGTCTTTATTGATTTTTGTTGCTGTTTTTTTGTCGCTTGTTTGCGTGTACACATCAATCTAATTTTGTCTTTTAGAGCGGTTTTCAATTGAGTGTCAAAAGTAATCAGGCAATTACTTTGGTTTTGGTTTTACTACGGTTCGAGATTGGCTGAGTAGTCTCATTGTTAAGTGATTGGTTCGGTTTTGGTTTCATGACACTCAATTGAAACCGCTCTGATTATCTAGCTGTTGTTATTATAAACAGGGATTTCTTGTACGCTTCCATAGTACACCGTGTTATCATTGTAATCCGCTTTGAATATAATTATACTACATATTTTTTTTATGTGTTGCTCTTGTTTGTTTCATAGTCAACATAAGGAAAGGTTCTTTAAGTTGCTGGGGGAGTCTGCGATACGTCGTGACTTTGATCTCTGCAGACCTAAGCATTCGGTAAAAGATAAGTTTGACCGTTAAACCTACGCGAGATGAAAAATATAAGGTATAAAAAGAACAGAAAATAATTGATCGTCCTCTTAACCATTTGAAAACGCACCCGTTAGTACAGTAGCTCTCACCTATAAGTGTAACCATTGAAGAAAACAGGTGTCAGATGAGCGCAACTTCCGATCTCCGAAACTGACTGAGTACGCAATTTTTGCCTCAAAGTTGCTAGGCAACTGATGGTACCATCATGACGATTCAACGTACTCTAATGTCCCTAGACGTTATTTGTTCCTCAGGGCTTGCAGTTTTCCTCAACCTTCGCTTTTCGGAACAGATCTCCACGGACAAATATCCGAGCATATTTTCACTGCAGCAGCCACTTGCAAACTAATGCAAATGCTGCAATCTGATTGGTTGAGCTACACGTATACTATCAGCTAGCCATTAGTAGAATTTTACTAGTACACTAATATACCAGTACACTATTGCACACTATCAGCCATTAGTAGAATTCTACTAGTATACTAATGCAAATGCTGCAATCTGATTGGCTGAGCCATTGCACACTATCAGCCAATAGTGAGCAGTGGCTTAATGTGGTCAACAAAAATTGCAACGTTTCCTCGTTTCTGCAAAGTTTTGAAAGAACATTTACAAACAAATGGATAATCAAATTCCTGAGAAGACTAAAAGGAGGGCATTTGCGGTTTCTTGAAATAAAAAGCTATACATTTTTGAAAGAAACTGATAAGCACGCGTACGCAACTGCAAATGTCAAATTGTCAATTGACAATTAATTCAGTCTGCGCGAATTCTTTAATGCGTGAAGACCAGACATAATTGCAATCGTTATTTCAAGGAAATTTCAGTTAGAATTCTACTAAAACAATTAGATTATTCGTTCTCGATTTCTATGAGGCGATACAAATCTCGAGCTCATAACCTAATTATTAATTAGTTTTCAGTGGCTTTAGGTGATCAACATTTTCACGCTTCTCCGAAGCTTTGGAGGAAGATTTAAAATATTATATCACTTCTCAAACTCATTAATAATTCATCGAGTTTAAACAAAGGAAATCATGACCGTGACGGTGTTTGGATATCTGATCTTAATTAGCAGAGATTTTTACGATTTCAATTCACCATTTTTTCCTTAGTTTTAGTTTCGATTGAGAAGATATATCAAACACGAAAAACAGAGTTTGACCACATTTCCAAACACCTCAAAGTTCGTCAAAAATATTTTCAACTCTCTTCTCGGTGTTTGGAAATGTGGTTAAACACCGTATTTCGTGTTTGATATATGACTTAAAATYTAGAAGAATAATTGGAAATTGTTATTTTTAAGAAATACATTTAGAATTCTATAACTAAAACAGTTAGATCGTTTGCACTCGATTTCTATGAGGTGATAGTTGGTATGGCCTTCAGCCTCGTCAGTTATCACCTCACAGAATCCCGAGTTAATTAGTGCTTAGAGTTTTCATTCAGTTTGGTAATGATCCGCAGGGGCGAATCTAGGGGGAGGGTGCAGGGGTTGCGTACCCCCTCCCCCTAAGAAAAATCCTACATCTGCCCCTGATCCGTTAAACCTGACCAGTTTCCTTTGACCGCTGGCTGCAGGTAGTTCTCGCCATACCAGTTAGTTAACTCGTAATCAATCTCTTTCATGGTTTTAAACTGTTCATTGTTAATGGTGACAAGGGAGGAATTCTTCACCCATTCGACAGGAGCTTCATAAAAATCAACATAACAGCGTTTCCTCCAATTGCGTGACACTAGCAGCATACCCTTCACTGCTTCCTCCAGCTCATCGCTAAAGAACGCATTCCCGTTAACATCATCGGGCCCGTCAAAGTACGCAGTTGTGTTTATTTCTATATAAGGTGGCAGAAGCAGGTGGGCTCTCTGCATACGAAAGGATTCTCCCACGTAATACTGGGGGTCTGTGGAACCTGTTAAAGCAGGAGAGAAATCAATTCGTGTACTCTCTCAAATGAATAAATAAATAAATAAATAAATAAATAAGTAAATAAATAAATAAATCTAAAAGTAGGCAGTGACACAAGATTGTTTAAGAGCAGACGCAAGATGTCGAAAAACTGTTGATATCTTTTCGGAAGTTCTCATTAAATGTCTAAATATCACAAAACATTTTCAGAATATCTCGGAAAATCCTCTAAACATCTGTTTGCTTTCTTTGAAAAAAGTAAACCGATTTCACTTACTTAGGCTAAATTTTTCAAACTTTTTTTGCAGTAGTTGTACCGGGTTGAGGAAGAAGGTTCAAAGTCGTCGATGTTACCAGCATCCGCCAATTCAGAAAATTATTCTTTTGCCGCCCTTTCAACCTCGCTACTAGGGCTTTCCTCCTAGAGACTGGGAAAGGAAAAACTCTGGGAATGAGGTTGCCGCTCTTTGTAATATGGAATACCCGTTATTTTTCATGTGGGAAATCGGATTTGTTTCTACCATACAACTGAGTATTGCTTCAAGAAAATAGCGAGGAAAACACAGGGCTAAGTCAAAAAGACCTATCGATAATTTTTGCGTTCGGAGAACGCAAACCTAATTTTAACCTGTGGCTTTCTGGAGTTGGTTATCCTGTGCACGGTTATATGCAGAAAATTCCACCCCGCTTGATTTTTGCGGGGGCATGTCACGGTCAGTAAACTGGTACCGTTACTAATAAGACATGTGATAAATGTAAGCATGTGATCAGGCCATGTGAGGTCGCCTTTGCGCTGGATATTTCTTTCCATTCAGTCGCCGTAAGCTTTGCCATTTTGTGCTCTCAGCGTTGGATTTTGGTGATGGTAGCCTTAAGCGGAATCTGAGGGAATTTTCCTTGTTTATTTTATATGTTTACGAACACGACTTTGAATCGCCTTGGCTTTGGGATATCAACCGTGGGAACAGCTGTATTTGATTGCATTTGTTGATTAGGTCCAGTCGTAGCCTGCAGTACAGGCGGATTAGCGGGCTCTAGCGCGATACACGAGCGCGCGCGAGACGAGAAAAATCCGCCTGTAGTCACACTATTGTTTATGCTCTTCCAACCGTTCGCCTGGCGAACGAGGTTGTTGATTGGTTGCTTTAAGCCACGTGACGTCAGACGCGAGAAAAAACAAAATGTGTTTGATTCGGGTGACAGGCTTAAACGGACTCCTACGGCTCGTGACATTTGTACATTTGCCGTTCTCTCATAAATTCCAGCCTCTCAACCTTTTATTTTGTTCTTCACTTGTTTTTGAAGGGCACTTAATGTTGTGTTATCTGGATGATTTTTCTAAAAGTAGAGCACAGGCAGCCCAAGCTCACGATGCGAGGAGTTATTATTTAAGGTATCATGGTAGGTGGATTGACAGTGTTTGGAAATCGCGCTCTTACGCTGGCGCTTTGAAAGACAACCCCATCAACCTATACATTTTCTGAAAGCTTAATAGTTATAGAATACAATTATATCTTTGAAATTTTCTTAAAAGTTATTGTCGCAGTGATATTAAAAGAAATACCCAGAAACACTGCNCAATAAGATACATGTAGTTTCTTGGCACTGCAGACGCCAAGTACAGTTTACGAATATACAATCATCAATGCATAAGTTTAAAATGGAATAGCAACTCATTGCATCTAACTTCGGAAAACTTGAAAATGTGTTAAGGTATCATGGTAGGGGGATTGACAGTGTTTGGAAATCGCGCTCTTATGCTGGCGCTTTGAAAGAAAACCCCATCAACCTATACATTTTCTGAAAGCTTAATAGTTATAGAATACAATTATATCTTTGAAATTTTCTTAAAAGTTATTGTCGCAGTGATATTAAAAGAAATACCCAGAAACACTGCTTCGCTTGAACTGGTTCGCTTCCGCGTGTGAATTATCGGAGCGGCGCGATTTACATCGGAAATGTTTTCTCACACATCACCCTCAAAAATCCTGCCTGCGATTTTCCAGATGTGGTTTGGTTTTTTTTGTACACCCTCCTAAAC